TTTACTGGTTTTTATTTTAGAACTATTTATTTGGCTGAACTTCCCACATAAGCCTCTAATCTGATGTAACCCCACACTCTTAAAAAGGACTGATTCTATATAAAACCATAAACACTCTGCATGCTTAAGTCTAACCCAAATCTAGCACATGTGATCCACTTTATTAGAAACACCCACTTTGTACTTCCACTCATTGGCCACTTTATTAGAAACACCTACCTTGTGCTTCCACTTATTCACCACTTTATTAGAAACACCTACCTTGTGCTTCCACTTATTCACCACTTTATCAGAAACACCTACCTTGTACTTCCACTCACTGGCCACTTTATTAGAAACACCTACCTTGTGCTTCAGCTCACTGGCCACTTTATTAGAAACACCTACCTTGTGCTTCCACACACTGGCCACTTAATTATAAACACCCACCTCGTGTAAGGTTTATTGTTACTGTTGAGTGTGATGACGCTACTCCAGAAGCCCAGTGAGAGGAGTGAGAACCCCAGAGTGAGGTTTAGGGCGAGACACGGGGTGAGGAGGCTGATACAACCCAGGCCATTGCACACCTCAGGGTGCGTGTGGAGCACCTCATATGCCGAGTGAAAGAACACAAGTTCTTTGACACTGAGATTCCACTCTGGCTTTTTGGTAATATTAATCAGCTCTACACTGCTGCATGTTTCCTGACAAACTATGAAAACAGACCTCTTGTAAAGGCTTGGGCAAAGAAGCCAGGACAGCACTTATACATTGCAGTGGTTCCCAACCCTTGTCCTGGAGGACCCCTTGTACTGCACGTTATTAGTGTTCCCCTGCTCTCAACACACATCATCCAACTAATCAGCTGATTAACAAGCCCTTCATCACTTGAAGTGGATGCGTTTGGAACAGGGAAAATCCTAAAATTTCCAGGGCAGTGGAACTGAAGGACCAGGGTTGGGAACCTGTGATGTATTGCATTTACATTTAGTCAGCTGATGTTATCCAAAGTGACATCCTCTGCTGGGCTTTTCTGAACATGGAAGAAATGTTAACTTCCCACCACCTCCAACCCCAAAAAAGCCTATCAGAGGATGTATATTGTCTTCAGGACAAAATGTAGATCTTGCAAATGACATTTGTACAATAATAATAAATAATAATAATAAAACAACGTGTTTAAATTGTTTATGGATACCACTTCGAAATTAGGAAAACTCAAAGCATGTTTAAAATTATGAAATGCAATGCAACATTTCATTGATGTAACAGCCGTAACTCACTGTGCTCTAATAAATGAATAATTAAATGATAAAATATTTTTTATTACTACTATTGACGATAAACAGTAAATGGAATTTGTCACTTTTTACTATTAGTTAAGCTTTCAAATAAGTTCTATCTCAATCTATTTATCGAGGTAAGTATAGCGATAACAATAAAAAAGGAATTGTCAGTTTTTGGGGGAACAGAGGTTTCAGGGCTTCAGGTCAGAATAATGTGCAGTCTGGTACAAAAGTGCTGCCACATGGTTGCACAAGCTGTACCTGCCACACAGGTACAGTGGCAGCTTTGTAGCTGCACAGGATGGGAAGCACAATGGTTAGGGAAATGTTAGCGGTGATTGACACACAGACATATAGCCTATTGCTGTGCTGTCCATTGTATTTTTTTATTGTACACAAGTCAGTCTAAATCCACTAGATGGCGATATCAGCAAGTGAAGCTCATTTTCATTTCACCACTCTGTATTTGACCAATAGTTTTTAACATTGAAAACTGTTAACATGAGCTCTAAACTCATCATGAAGGGGTCAGTTACAAACCCCACCCTGCATGAATGGATTATAAAATACTATTTAGGCCAAAAGTGCATCATAAAACAACACTTTAGTCCAGTGTGTGATCACAAAAACTATCATAAAACAACGTCTCAGACATCAGGCAGTGTATCAGAGGTGGACGCCTGGTTTCTGTCACCACCACTGTGAACAATTCTGACTCTCAAACAGAAAAGTTTACACCAAACTGCTCTGAATGACTCGGTTTACATCCTAATGACTGATTTATGCATAGAATTTGGAAGAAATTCTCCTTTAATGCTACTGAGAAAGGAAAATCCTAACTTATGAAACAGAATTCAACTTTGCTTTTATTTCTTAATAACACTTTAAAAAGTTAATAACACACAGCCTTAATTAACTGTTATCTTTACCTTAAAATGATGATTATTTGAATTATCTCTGTAGAACTGATGTTAAAACCAGCATTATTCCCTATAGAACTGCAGTAGAGCCTCTCAGCACATCTATCAGCACAGGAACTGAAGTTTACAGTGTTTCAGGCTCTGTTCTTCTCTTTTTGATCCTTTGGGTCTAAAAAAATTGAAGGCAGCTGTTTTGCTGATGCTTCTGTTTTAATTTCACACATAAGTGAATTAAGACTAAAAGAAATGCTAACAGGCTCACTTTCATTTGAAAATGAAGTACAATATTCTCGGTGCATTACGTTTAATTGGACAGTGTTATAATATTTAAACAATGTCTTTGTTTTTGACATGCTTTGGTAGGCTACAAGTGTTTACAGTAGCAGTAACGCTAACTAATCAGCACCCAGTAGCAGTAATGTTAACCAATCAGAACTCAGTAGCAGTAAGGCTAACTAATCAGCACTCAGTAGCAGTAATGCTAACCAATCAGAACTCAGTAGCAGTAAGGCTAACTAATCAGAACTCAGTAACAGTAATGCTAACCAATCAGCAACCAGTAGCAGCAATGCTAACCAATCAGCACCCAGTAGCGGTAATGCTAACTAATCAGAACTCAGTAGCAGTAATGCTAACCAATCAGAACTCAGTAGAAGTAATGCTAACCAATCAGAACTCAGTAGCAGCAATGCTAAACAATCAGAACTCAGTAGCGGTAATGCTAACCAATCAGCACCCAGCAGCAGTAATGCTAACCAATCAGCGCTCAGTAGCAGCAATGCTAACCAATCAGCACCCAGTAGCAGTAATGCTAACCAATCAGCACCCAGTAGCAGTAATGCTAAACAATCAGAACTCAGTAGCAATAATGCTAACCAATCAGCACCCAATAGCAGTAATGCTAACCAGTCAGCACCCAATAGCAGTAATGCTAACCAATCAGCACCCAGTAGCAGTAATGCTAACCTATCAGCACTCAGTAGCAGTAATGCTAAATAATCACGGCTGTACGTTTAGAAGCTCTCTTTCTTTAAGTAAACTGTGCCTTTAAATGTACTTTAGGGGAAACTGAGGTGAGAAACAGACATGTTTACTCATTTGTACAAATAATACCGAATATGAAAGTTTGTTCTGACATTTCATAAAGACGAGGCTCCGTTTGGACTAACCGTAATATTAATACCCAACTGTGGGAGCCTTGTTCTGTTAAGGCCCTTCTTAACAAAATTTGTCTCCTTCACGTCTCGGCAGTTTCATTTGGCGGGGAGGGCCCTGCACGTGAGTGGCTGTGGCATACGCAGCGCTCAATACTGCGCATTTCACAGAGAAGTTTACATATCAGCAGGACAGCAGGGGCACTCAAAGGGGAACTCTAACGATTTTTCTAAATTTCTTCATGATTAAATGGTTAACATGTCAACAAAGTCATTCAGAGTAGTATTTCATCTATTCATGTTGGAGGAATACATGAAAAGTGTTGTAGGGAACATTACAAAGAAAGCTCATATTTTCAGATTTTCCACTATTTTCCCATCATTAACATTCCATGTAAAACTCAAGAGACGTGTAGGTTCATTGATGGTTTTGTGTAGTAAATAAAATGGCTATATGTGTGTTGTAGTCATGGTGACCCCTGGTTCCTATCACCACCACTGTAAAGAAATCTGTGTTGGTACGTTTCTCTACAAATGAATTAGTTCACATCACATCACTCTGAATGCCCAGTGGTTAAGAAACCGCAAGTGCTTAATAGGGAAGGCCAGTGATTTTCTCCAAAACATTGCCTGACCGGCTTTATGTTTTGTTATAGATAAGCTTACTGAGTCAGAGTGATTCACACTGGTGGTGATAGGAACCAGACATTCACCTCTAAAAGCTTCCTTACAGAAAGTTATTACATCAAATGGTTATGAATACGATGCTCATTTTTTTACGAATGTTTTGAGGAGTAAAATGTTTCTAAAGTATATTCATGGAGGAGAGTGCATTACACTTTAGTAGAAACACCCTACTTAACAATGACTGTCTACAGTATGATACATGCACTAAGCCATTTGACTGATAGGATTTGCTTTGCTGTCCACTAGATGGCGACATTTAATTTCAATGTACAGCCATTTCCATCAATCAGACTTCTAATCAATGCTTTCTGACAACATGGACACGCTTGGATATGGTCCAACAACAGCACATTTACCCTGTAGGGATTTCATATTAAAGCTATATATAGCTTTATTTGGTCAGATCAGATGTAAACAAATGGTAACCAATCAGCAAGTGAAGCCCACTTTCTTTCCACATTCTGTATTTGACCAATGGAAAGCTTTTAAACACCCAATACCACCTCTTCAAACTTACATGTGGAGGTGGTGAGTGACAGCAGGGGCAGTTAAAGGGCCCCACTCCTGGATCCACCCCTGACACAGAAGAGGGCGGATGTGTATACCTGTAGGCTGGACCAACTCAAAATAGGAGGCACTTAACGCCACACAGGTAGGTCTTAGGTCCAAAAGGGTTTGCCTTCTGTTAAATGCTTTATTACTGGTTTAAAACAAATGTATGTAAATAGGCTTAGCTATAGCAGGTCCTGTTGTAATGCGGGGGCTGGTGAGGCAGACGAGGACATATCTGAGTAAAGGTAGTGAGGCACGATGAAGCCATTTCTCAAAAAACAAAAACAAAAAAACAACATTATGATCTGATTCGTCACGAGAAACCAACTTAACTTCACATCAACCAATAGCAAAGTCACTCCACCCATTTGTAGTCCCACCCATACAATTTAAAGCTTTTCCAGCTTGCAGTGACACCGTATTGCTCCAAGAAGAGCACTGGAACATATGAAGTTCTTTCATCTCAAACTGTGTTTTTCTGTTTGTTTAATGATTCAGGCTCCTACAGAAAGTCCATAAAGCTGATGACCACATAAAGAGGTATGTGTGTGTTCATATCATTAATACATATTTAAACAGTACAGCTGTCTGAGGCACTGTTTAACTTGTCTGACTGAATGTGATGTGATACTCACTCAGTAGCTTTACTGTAATCTTTACCTGAAAATAATGAGTTATTATATTAGAGACAGTCCTACTTCAGCCTCAATTTCATCAGCCTGAAGCTGTACGGAAGAAAATACGCTGCTACTTCAGTGCTTAAAGGGGACGTCTGCCAGTTTTTTTTTATATTTTGCATAACTGGTTTGGTGTGTAATGCTTCGTTCTAGAGAAACTTACAGAGTCAGAATTGTTCACAGTGGTGGTGACAGGAACCAGACGTCCACCTCTAAAAGCTCCCTCACAGAATTATGTTATGTTACAGTTATGAATGCACTGCCTGATGACTGAGACATTGTTTTATGATAGTTTTGAGAAGATTTTGGCTGAATATGTTTCTATTATAGCACACTAATGGTGGAGGGATACATGCAGAGCAAAATAGTCCACTATTTTCCATCATCAACATTCCATATAAACACCTAGAAGACATATGTAGGTTCTCTGGTGGTTCTGTATAGTAAATAAAAAGTCTATATTTGTGTTGTAGTCATGGCGACCCCTGGTTCCTATCAGCACCACTGTAAAGAAATCTGAACCATTCCACACCAAACCACTCTGAATCTCTCTGTTTACATCTCACACATCAATAGATTTTCCCCTTAATTAGACATCTAGGTGTATTAGCAGTACAGTCCAGTCTTGTTTCACTGCAAGAAACCAAACAAAGCATTAAAGGAGAATTCCACCAATTTTTCCAAATTTTATACCTAAATCAGTAAAAATGTAAACAAAGTCATTCAGAGTAGCCTGAAGTGGAAAAAGTGGTTTGTTATTCAAAATAATCACATTGTGCTGTGAGATGTGATTGTGGAATCTGACCCACAAACTCCGAAACGGACCTTAAAGAAGGGCCCGGGGGTCTATCTGTGCTCATTCCTGGCTTTTTGTTCTTCAAATAGATCAGACATGTTTCATTTCTGAGCCACTGAGTAGTTTATAGACAAGTTGCAGCATGTAATTAGTTCTGTATCTAACTGAATAAGAAGAAGCACCCCCTACTTGGCCAGTGAAAGAATGTGGCATACTGACAATTCAGAGAGTAAGGAACTCCAAATGTGGGTAAACTGCCATCATAGGCAAAATAAGCTGAATGGACAAGCTTTGCCAGTGTAATCTCAGTTTCAACCCAAGTTTAATATTAAAGGAACTCATGAAGGAGGTTGTTGAAGTGATATTTGTTAGGATTAGTATGTTCTTGATTGAACTTGCCTATGACTCACACGACAGCGTTGCTGGGGTGACCTTTAATTACACACACAATCTGTAGAGCAACAAATGCTCTATAATCTATAACTATACACTGATATAGTGGACTTATAATCATACAGGTCCTCTGTGGTTTTACTTTGAGCTTAATAAGAAACATGTTGTTATTGAGAGACAACCATACTTGGTGTTTTGTTGATATAAGCATGGACGTCTCTGAAAGTGTGTTCAGCATTAACAGTGCTTTCACTCATGTGTACGTTATCCACCAATACCTCCCCACACCATCACTTTACACTGGTAACCATCTGGATTGTCCTTTTCTTCTTTGGCCCAGAGAAGATGATATCATTATTTATATAAATAAGTTTAAAGCCTGACTCATCAGACAACAATACATATTTCCACTGAGCATCAGTCTATTTCAGATGGACTTGAGCCCAGAGAAGTCGGCGGCGTTTCTGGACATTGTTTACGTGTGGCCTCCGCTGTGCCTAGTGCAGTCTTACCTTTTTATTTGTCATTTGTGGATGCAGCTGCCAATGGTGTTTACTCACGATGGTTTGTCAAAGTACTCCCAAGCCCATGCAGCAATCTCCATCACAAAAACATGCCAGTTTTTGATGCAGTTCTTGCTGCTGCATTTTTGGCAAAGTGGTGATCCATCTTCACTCATTGTTCTTCTCACTTAGTTGTTCACACTGCATGCTCTTTTCATATCCAAGCATAATTGCATCACCTGTTTAAGAATGTTTCTAGTCTAAGTTGCTCCTGTTCCAACTTTTTTGGAACATGTTGCAGGCATCCATTTCAGAATCAGCATGTATTTACAAAAAACAATGAAGTTGATAAGATAAAACACCTCATGTCTCGTCTTTGTACTGTTTTTATTCAAATTTAGGGCAAAACAGCTTAATAAATCACTGCTCTCTGTGTTTAATTGCGTTTTACTTATTGTCCCAACTTTTTTGAAATTAGGTTTGTAATTTACAAATCTGGTTCACGAAAGAGCCATCCATTAAAAAATGTTTTTAGGGAATCAACAGGGGCTCATCTGAGACATCAGTTGCTATCATGTGAACTATTTTAGATTTCTTTTCATTATTTCTCATTACAAGTAATTCTGTACTGTTTCTGGTTAGATTTGTTACAGAATCAGATCAAGTTTGTTTTTTTTCCTTCTGATATCTTTTTTCTGCTGGTATCGCTTTGGTGTTCATACTGTGTGTCAGTAGGACACTGTTCTCAATGTCAGTGTAATCAGCTTTTTATTGGTTTCTGGTGTTTTTCAGCTGTGATCTGGTCGGCCTGTTTACCTGATGGCTATAAAGTGAATCTCTGAGGCTGTGTTATGGACTGCAGACTTGGTTGTTGGACAGGAGTAAAACTTTTGCCTGTTTTTGTGCTCCTGCTGCTGATAAATACAGGTGAGCAGAAGAACCTCATAATTTAAAGCAGGGGTGCACAACTCCGCTCCTGGAGGGCCGGTGTCCAGCACAGTTTGGCGGTTTCCCCACTCAAACACACTCACTAAACCTGGCACTTAACAGGTCAGTGTAATCAGGTGTGTTGGAGCAGGTAAATCACCAAACTCTGCTGGACACTGGCCCTTCAGGACTGGAATTGTGCACCCCTGATTTAAAGGATAAATAATTAATCTATGTAGAATAATAATTATTAATATTATTGACATGCCAATGCAACTACTAAAAATGGCACATGAGCATTCCTAAACCTTAACACTCAAAAATGTGAATATTATGATTATGCAAATTGTAAATGGCCCCATGCCTCCCGGCTGCGTTTACAGCGGCTGGTGACCAGAGCTGGCGTCATTTAAAGTCACACTTCTCAAACTCTTTCCTGGTTTACACCTCTGTCAAAATGTCCCTCAAGCCAATTATGATTTAAAAAAATACCTGAGTCGACTCTTCTTGCCAAGATTCAACCCTGATGTTTGAACAGTCTGATCAGATCAGAGATGGAGCAGAGCTGAAAGAAAAATAAGCTCCCACTATAATCTTAATAATCAGTAAATAAACTAGCAAGATGCTAACTGTTGAACTGTAAACTGAACAACAAATGTCACATGCGTAGTGGTAAGGAGAACACAGTGAATATGGAGAGACTAAAATACTCGAAACACGAGGTCAAATTACTGTTTCATGTCTAAAATTGCTGATAAAATCTAGCAAAAACCAGAAAAACAGTTTGTAGTGCATTTTTCAGGTTTTTCTAGCATTCCCCACTCCTGCTGTAATCAGCAAGCTGATTGGCTCTTTTTATTGAAGGGCGTAAACAGACGCCATGTTGAGTGTTATGAGCTTACCCATTCATACTCACACCAGCCTCCTCTTTTATAACGTCTGCTGGAAAAAAATCATAAAAACCATTAAGTTTCTGTTGGTTTCTGATGGTGTCCAATAGCCACTAACAGTATTTTGTGTTTTGTTGATGGGTTGATATTACAGTGTACAGGATTCTAATGGTTTAACTGGTGCTCTGAAACTAATTCTAGATGCATTTGATGGCATCCTAATGTGATCTAAAGGTGTCCTACAGGATACTACGGGTTTCTAACTAATATAGAGCCACTTAATGGTTCTCATGTTCTTTTTCAGCAGGGATGTCCCTGGTTATACCAGTGGTCGGCAAATGCAGCTCCAGAGCTGCATGTAGCTCTTCTACTGCCCTGTTGCGGCTCCACAGCAGAATTAGATTTGTAGGTAAAAATAAAATAATCCTCTTTCACAGTAAAATAAAGTTCTGCTGATCATTCAACACAGTTTTACGCTAAATGGTGTTAATCGCTGGAGTTAATGTGTAACTGCTAGTTCACCCTTTAACCCTGAAGATCGGCCCGCAGACTGCTGGTCACCATAGCAAAGTACATAACACACAAACGTCACTCCAGAGAACACGTCTCCACTGCTCCACAGTCCAGTGGCGGCGCTTTACACCACTGCATTCAGCGCTTTGCATTGCGCTTGGTGATGTAAGGCTTAGATGCAGCTGCTCGGCCATGGAAACCCATTCCATGACGCTGTTCTTGAGCTAATCTGAGGGCCACATGAAGTTTGGAGGTCTGTAGCGATTGACTGTGCAGAAAGACCTCTGCGCACTATGTGCCTCAGCATCTGCTGACCCCGCTCTGTCATTTTATGTGGCCAACCACTTCGTGGCTGAGTTGCTGTCATTCCCAGACGCTTCCACTTTGTTATAATACCACTGACAGTGGAATATTTAGCCGTGAGGAAATTTAATGACTGGACTTGCTGCACAGGTGGCATCCTATCACGGTACCATGCTGGAATTCACTGAGCTCCTGAGAGCCACACATTCTTTCACAAATGTTTGTAGAAGCAGTCTGCAGGCCTAGGTGCTTGGTTTTATACTTCTGTGTCCATGGAAGTGATTAGAACACCGGAATATATATATATATATATATATCAGCGTGCTTTAGTCGAGCTCCAGTAACTGCTCAGTTTAGGCTACAGGCTCCATTGTTGGCTGTATTAGAGATTAGATGAGAAATTAAAGTTTTGTTTTTTTTTGCGTACTCATATTACGGCAGGCATGAGAAAGTTCCCTGTTAACCAGCATATTGATGGTATAGCATCATGTAGCTAACATTATTGAGAAATCAGCAGAAATGTTAGGCTCTATTTTGT